CTTGGATTGATGTCCCACAACTTGAGAAACACTGAGATAAGGCCATGTCCTTTGATTTGTATGTGATATAGAACTACAAATCATCACAAGTTATATAATAATTTGACTTAGCTTGGCATCTGGATTGTGGCATCTGGAATGAAATTGGGAATGTACTTGATGAGAAGACATTTTATTAGTTGACACATCAGGTAGAAAATGAAGGAATATCATGTGTTTATTGTATGTCTTTATAGAATACATTATCCAAGTGATCTCATTAGTGAAACAGAACACAGAACATGCACTTAAAATTATGTCTTAATTATTTCATTTAAAGTCTTATTCTGATTAGTGTTTGTATCTCAAAATATAGATCAATATAATATTGCATGTATTAATTCTTATTTATTTTGCCATTTTATGAAAACATAAAAATTTACATTTTCCTTTTTATGTATTCTGAACACATTCACATTCAGCTTAGTTTATTTTCATTAATTTATGTTTGAATTTATTTATATAATCTAAGAAGTTTCATCATTTGAATAATTATTTATATGCTAAGCAACAATAGATAAGATTCAGCCAAGCAAAATTTTGATTCAAGACTGTTTCCAAAGCTAGATTGTAATACTATATATAGAAATAACTATATTTTAAAATCTGAGCTTTCTTGACAAGATGGCCACGCCGGCGGTATCAGCAAGTGCTCCTCCTGCCACGCCAGCTCCGGCCCCGGCGGCGGCCCCAGTCTTGGCCCCAACCTCAGTCCCAGCTCCAGCCCCAACGCCAGCACCAGCTGCGGCTCCGCCTTCCGCTGGGACTCCAGCTTCATCCTCAGACCCTGAGGCAGCAGCGGCTACGACTGCGGCTCCTGGCCAGACCTCGGCCTCAGCGCAAGCTCCGGCGCAGACTCCAGCTCTCACTCTGCCTGGTCCCGCTCTCCCAGGGCCCTTCCCCGGCGGCCGCGTGGTCAGGCTGCACCCAGTCATTTTGGCCTCCATTGTGGACAGCTACGAGCAACGCAACGAGGGTGCTGCCCGAGTTATCGGGACCCTGCTGGGAACAGTCGACACTCAGTGGAGGTCACCAATTGCTTTTCAGTGCCGCACAATGAGTCAAAAGATGAAGTGGCTGTTGACATGGAATTTGCTAAGAACATGTATGAACTACATAAAAAAGTTTCTCCAAATGAGCTCATCCTGGGCTGGTATGCTACAGGCCATGACATCACAGAGCACTCTGTGCTGATCCATGAGTACTACAGCCGGGAGGCCCCCAACCCCATCCACCTCACTGTGGACACAAGTCTCCAGAACGGCCACATGAGCATCAAAGCCTAAGTCAGCACTTTAATGGGTGTCCCCGGGAGGACCATGGGAGTGATGTTCACACCTCTGACAGTGAAATATGCATACTATGACACTGAACGAATTGGAGTTGACCTGATCATGAAGACCTGCTTTAGCCCCAACCGAGTGATTGGACTCTCAAGTGACTTGCAGCAAGTTGGAGGGGCATCAGCTCGCATCCAGGATGCCCTGAGCACGGTGTTGCAATACGCAGAGGATGTACTGTCTGGAAAGGTGTCAGCTGACAATACCGTGGGCCGATTCCTGATGAGCCTGGTTAACCAAGTACCCAAAATAGTTCCTGATGACTTTGAGACCATGCTCAACAGCAACATCAATGACCTGCTGATGGTGACCTACCTGGCCAACCTCACAAGTCACAGATTGCCCTCAATGAGAAACTTGTAAACCTGTGAATGGGCCCCAGGCAGTGTACCTGCTGGTCTGGGTCTCAACCCCAGGACGGGTTTTTTGTGGTCTTGAGTCACACTGAGACAGTCAACTGCCTGTGAGTCTAATAAACATAGCCTACCTTTTGTAAAAAAAAAAAAAAAAAAAAAAAAAAAAAAAAAATCTGAATCTATTGAACTAAATAAAATATACCATCAAGGTATCATACCAATATAATAATATTGAATATTTGACTGAAAATCTATACTCATACATACAACACCCAATAACCCTCACCTGCCAAGCCTATGATCTAGATAAAATAGAAAAAAAATGTTAAAAGAATAAGACTACAGCTATAAATTTGCAAAGGAAAAGTAAAATGTGAGTGACAATATATCAGAAGCAAATTTGTTAACCTGAGACTATAGTTTCAAAGTTATATATGAATAGAGGAAGAATGACAGACAACTATGAAAAGGAGAATAAATAGATACATATGATGATGCAAATGAACATGAAAGCAGAGAAAAGAATACAATATCAGAAAATATTGTTTGTTGAGGTCCGGTAGAATAAATTAAAATATTAAATAGTATAGTGAGTACTAGAATAGTGAAAAATTGTAATTATTACATTGAAAACAATATAACAGAAATAAAGAGTAGATGGGCTTTATGTATAGTACAATTGTTTTTGAACGTTAGCAGTATAATACCCTTTGCACATAAAATTTTATACAGTTAATTGCTCAATATTTAAAATAGGTGAAAGCAGAGGTGCTTTTGGGATTTTTGTGAGGGCAGGAGGGAGGGCTACCAAGAAAAGGGGTCCAGCATTGCCCACCCAATGCTATCTCATCAAAAGTTTTCATACAAAGCTACATGAGTACTTCTAGGGAATTTATGGGGTTACTAGAAAAACACAATTCACAAGCCAAAGCTTGAAAATAGTATGGTTTTAAAGCATACTTTAAAAGATTATGTAAATATTCACTATATGCACGAATAAGTGCATGACTGGTAAGTCGTGTTTGTTTACATTTTCTAGACAAGTATTAAAATTTGTGTTTAGTTTCAGCACCAAACTAAAAAGCCAGGATCTTAGTTTTGAATTATACAACTCAATTTATTTTTTTCACTAAAGTAAAATAAAAATTAATTGATCCAGATTATTTGTCATTAAAGCTTGAGAGTTGGCCCTCAGTTTTTTAAGAAAATCAGTAGAACAAAAAAATGTGTGCTGGGTGCTGTGGCTCACACTTGTAATCTCAGCATTTTCATAGGCTGAAGCAGGCAGATCACAAGGTCAAGAGTTAGAGACCAGTCTGGCCAACATAGTGAAACCCTGTCTCTAATAAAAATACAAAAAATTAGCTGGGTGTGGTAGTGTGTGCCTGTAATCGCAGCTACTCAGGAGGCTGAGGCAGGAGAATCGTGTGAACCCAGGAGGTGGAGGTTGCAGTGAGCTGAGGTTGTGCCATTGCGCTCTAGCCTGGGCAACAGTGCCAGACTCTGATTCAAAGAAAAAAATAAAAGAAAGAAAAATGAAAACATGAAGGAGCTAAGTAACTCCAGGTTCTACTGGTATTAAATGTGCACCACTTAAATACTTGCATCCAAAGCCTTGGTGGAACACTTACTGATTAGGGTCTGATGCAGCAACTTGATTTATTAGATCACTTAAGTAATAAGAATTGAGTTAAACCTGAGATGTTCAAAGGTTAAATTAGAATGTTCCTTATGTCTTGCAAGAAAATTACCGCCAGTCACACTGTCAGAGCAAGCCTTCAATATTGGTCAGTCTTCTCGTAGGATCGAATTCTAGTTCCTGGGTGAGCGTAGAATTAGTTGATGGTTCTTCTTTGATAGAATTTCTTTATAAATCCTAATATAATATCTATCAAAATTAACGGTATTTCCATTTAAAATTTGAATACCTTTCTTGGTTTTGAATCAACTGTAGTATTTTATTCACTAAGCCTTTGACTGTCTTATTAAAATGTGAAACTTTTTAATTACATAAGTGCATATAGAAAATCTGTGTTAAAATCTGCCACTTACTAATCACCTCCTGTGTCCTCATAGCATAGTACTTTTACATAATCTCATTTAATTCTTGCCATATTATGTATTCATAGCCAATGCAAGTAAAATTAGTAACTGAAATCAGAAAACATAAAAATTTTATAGACCTAAACACTTCTCAAGCTAGCTACATAGGCCAAAAAGACATAGGACTGTTAGCCATACATAATAAACTATAAGAATTTGGAATTCAAACAGACTTTATGGTATAAACAAAGAAAATATCTCCTTTGTAGGTTTATGTCCCTTATAATATAAATTAGAAAAAGCCACTCCAGTTTGGACCAGAAATAAGTTCTGTCAAAAAAGTGATAGAAACATGATTAGAAAAGAATTTTGAGAAGAATCTTTTTCTATTTATACTGTTGCCTCATGGCTTTAGTAGCAACTGGAAGCATGAACCAAGAAAGGCAAGGTGAAGCTGTGTACCTCTTTCCTTTCGGTCATCTTACTTTATTTGGCTTGGTTCTGTTGAATTTTGGAATTACTATGTCTTTACTTCCCAGTTCACCTAGAACACCTGCAGCTGGCCCCAATGCACTAAGTCTCTCAAATATGCCAAAAATGACTTTCTAGCCTCCTAGAATCTGTTTTCAAACATGATTCAGGGAGACTCTAAGATTGTGATTAAAATGAAATTGCCAGAGCAAGCAAACAAACAAAAAGTAACAACTTAGGCAGAGTGAAAAATATAGTCCAATTCAAGAATAGAAAATATATGCTTATAGTTTAGGCAGGAGGGCAAACAAGGTATTATAAATGTTCCTTCAATTAATACTCAAAAATTTCAAACATACATTGTTATATTTTTGCGTGTAAAAAGAAAATACAAAAAACAATTTTGGATTTGCCACACCTAAAGTTCTCCAGCATAGGATTTGCCACATTATCATGGAAGGCCATGTATTATTTTATTTTAGTCAAATTTCCCTCTAGTGAAATCGACTTCTTAATGCAGAATTTTAATTCAGATCAGCTTCACTCAATACAGGGCTTTGAGTACAAACACAAGAATTCATTAATCAATTGTGCAATTATTTGCACACTTCGTTTTTACTCTTTATCTTATATTCCTGACAGAGCTAATGATTCAGTGATTTTTATTTTTTTAATTTTCTAGAATGTAGACTTTAAAGTCAACAATTTTAGTGTGCTAATAGTTTGTGGTGTTTTCTTCTTCTTGTTTCAGTCTGTTCCCAGTATTCTAGAGGAGTATTTGCCATTTTTGGACTCTATGATAAGAGGTCAGTACATACCTTGACCTCATTCTGCAGCGCCTTACATATCTCCCTCATCACACCAAGTTTTCCTACTGAGGGGGAGAGCCAGTTTGTGCTGCAACTAAGACCTTCATTACGAGGAGCACTCTTGAGTCTCTTGGATCATTATGAATGGAACTGTTTTGTCTTCCTATACGACACAGACAGGGGTGAGTACAGTTTCTTTATCTCCATCAGCAAAACTCTAATTTTCAATGTGAAATGACCTTATATGACTTGGGATTTTTAACAAATTGTTTTGATCTCTAATCTAAAATCAGAAAATTGTTGATGTGTATTTTTATCTTGACTCTGGGAAAAAATTTCTAGTTAAACAAGCTTCAGATTGACGAGATTGCTCATGAACAAACCATGCTCTGTAACTTCACTGAAGTTAAGATAACTATGTGAATAAGAAAAGAAAACCAAAGTGTTTTTCCTGCTCTCACACAGCAATCAACAAAGAATATATCTTGATCTCTGATAACCAGTATGTGCGGAAGTTGTTCCCATACTCTAGCTAAGTGACCCTCCAGCAGACCCTCCAGAGCACACCTCTACTTCCATTCAATCCTGACCTTATTTATCTGGAGTTATTTAGCATCAGATCCCACAGGTTGAAGCCTCAGTCCCCCACAAGACTGCACTTTACTTTGGAAGCCAACTACCTAGAAATTGGGGGTCCTGTGACCCTTCTCCTTGGGTTCAATTGATTTGCAAGCAAAGATCTCAGTGCTTAGGAAAAACGCTTTACTTTACTTTTCTCCTTTATATAAAGGATATTACAGAGGATACAGATGAACAGACAAATGGAAGAAATGGTTGGGGAGAGGTGTGGGAAAGGAGTTTGGGGCTTCCATGCCCTTCCCAGGTGAGCCACCCTCCAGGAATCTCCTCATGTTCAGCTATCCGGAAGCCCTCCTACCTTTGTCCTTTCGACTTTTATGAAAGCTACATTGTGTAGGCATAACTGATTATATCATTGGCCATTGACCAACTTAACTTTCATGTCCCTCTTTCTTCCCCAGACGTTGGTGTGTGGGGCTGAAAGTCCCAACTCTCTGATCTTGCCTTTGTCTTTTGGTAACAAGCTCCCATCTTGGAGCTAAGGGCCCCCAACCACCAGCTATCTCATTAGCATACTAGAGACAATCCTCTGTCCCTAGAAATTCCAGGGGTTTTAGAAACTGTAAATCCAGAAACAGAGAGAAAGATTAAGTATATATTTCACAATTTCACAATAACTACTTAAAAAATTTCTGTGATGATATTTTCAGGTACAGTTATAACATAAATATGTTACTTTGCTTCAGAGACAAATGAGTTAATGTTTTGGAACATATTAAAATAATTGAGCCATAATGTTGAGTTTGAAATACAAAACTCTAAGTGAATAATTGAAGAGCCGTGACAATGATGATAGAAGTTTGGCAATAAGACTACATTTGCTGGCAACCTTTCACTTTACCAGTTTTGAAAGATTAGTAAGTGATCCCTTGTGTGTGGGAGAGACAAGGTGAATAACCCACATATTGCATTATTAACAATCCATACATTTTGTTCAGTGATTGATATAGCTTTATTTTTCAGCTGGAGGAACAACTTAAGGAGTTCTCATGCATGTTTTCCAATTCTGTTTTTTATTTAGTGACTAGAATCATGGCAACATACTATATTTAAAAAATAAACATTCAGGGACCATCTGTGGGTTCTGTCTTCAGTCCTTTTTTTCTTAAAGTTTAAGAGTCATAAGAAGATAGGAAGTTAAAATAAAGGTTGTAATAGGCAGTATTTTAAGAATATTCTTGAATGGAATTCTATCTATAAAATGGGTAAGGGTGATAAATAGCCTTTTCTATCTATGAAGTAAGTATAATAAATAACCTTAAATCTTTTCAAAAAAGATTTGTTTCAAACTTTTGAAGAAGATATAATACACCTTCCAGAATCCAAAGTATAATTTCCTGTATTCATAGGTGAAAACCCATAAAATGAATTCATCTTTATCACTAAAATTTACATTTTTAATTCATTGCAAACAGTGTCATTTAAGATGTCACACCAATGGTGTTTCTAGTACATAATTCCTATTGGTATTCTTAGTAAATTCCCCTTTCAGAAATAAGCTCAGCAAATTCAATATCATCATCATATTTTCTATAAGGTTGCAGCATACTTTGATTATCATTTGGAAACACCAGAATCTACTTATATTGCCTACTATTATTTGTTATTAGTTAACAATCTAAAGCATCCTAGGGGATAAATTACATATTAGACAAAACATCAATCTATTCACTTCTAATTGTTGGAAAAATCCTTAAGCAAGAGGACACTGAATGTTGAATCATAATGTCAATAAATATATATCAGGATATAGAAGAGATGGTGCTGCCTGTGGTTCATTATAACATAGCCCAGTTCTCCACCCTTAGCAGAAGATGCTTATTTTATGACTTATTCTCATGGAAATACCAGTGGGAGCTGTGTCTCACTTTTTCTTTATGTCCCTGTATAAATCCATTTCTTGCAAGGAGAGGGTTGTAGGTATAATTCATGTATTGGTGGGGACACAGAATAGGGATTAAAGTGGCACTTGGCTTTTGTATCCGTTTATACTTCCCAAGGTCCCTGCTCCTGTATAACAAGTCAGATGCTCCAAATTTGAGTCATTCCCATTACCTCCTACCAAAAGCTCTCTCTGCTATAAGTAGAAATATAGTTGGTTATTTAAAGAATCTTTGTCTCATTAACTTTCTGTCTGCAGAGTCTTAAACCCATCATGGTGCAGCCATGACTTCTTCTAATAGTGGTGTCTTGTAAGCCTTTAACCTACTTAACGGCTTGCTGCGCAAAGCCTACTTTTTGCATGTAGTCATCCTAGAACTTAACTGTTCTACTTCTAACCAATTGATGCAATTTCTAGAATTTCTTAGTTCTCTTCAGTTGTTGCTTCAGAATGAATAACTAGTTCTTTATACTGTCACCTATAGTAATTGCCAACTCAACTTCAAAACAGACATCTTTATTTCAAGAAGCAATTGCCTGAACCAAGAAATAACATGTCAGGAAAATGGCTGTTTCTTGATGTTCAGATAGCTTTCCCTGCCATGACAGCATCATGCTTCCCAGCATTCTTGATCTTAATTGAGTACTTTCAAAGCAGAAGAATAAATTTTTCTCCCGTAGAAATTATCATGCTCATTTTATAAGTTTAAAATCATAAACTCTATTTATTTCCTCTTAGATACTGTGCTTATAATTATGTATCACTCTCATCAACTGAGGTACGAACAGATTATTAACTCATTATAAACATAGTAAGCCAAGAGTAATTCAAATTTTCACATCATAAAAAGAAAAAACATTTCAAATAATTACACACATCATTAAAATCAAAATATAATATATGAAAACCAAGTGTAAAGAAATAAGATACTAAGTGAAATACTATCTTATTTCTTTTGGTGTTTTTTGATATATTTTGATACTTTTCTTTCCTCCTGTATTGTTATCATGAACTGATTATCTAAATTTTTTTTCCATTTTAAGTAATTGCCTTAATGACTGAATTTCTTTACCAACTTGAGTGGAGCATTGTTTTCCGGTGCATTATAAATCCATATTTTGGAATAAGATATTTTGTTGGGCTGCTCAGTCATTCTGATATCTAAATCCCAACAATGCCAAAACACTCTTTCAAAATACAAGAACTTACTCTGTAGTTCCTTGAAGTAGTGTTTTTATGTTGAATTTCAGCAACTGAAGGAATGATCATCTATTTGCTATGATAGAGGTCTTATGATCTGTTATGAATTAGCTGTATGAACTTGCTTATGTTGTGCTTTTGGCTGTATCTGTTTTTAAAAAACTAATTGCATTATATTTAAGGCTTTTTCAAATTATCTTCACAATTTCATTTTTTAATTCAGATATTCTGTTTCTTACCTGGAAATGGTGAACAGAAGCAGAAAGGTAGCACATGGCATACCCGATCTTATCAGCAGGAAAACCTGCTTCTGTTCATTTGACTATCTCTCAGTGAAGAAAAACAGCATTCATTCATTTACTTATTCAATTTATTCATTTAACATTCAGTAAGTATTTATTTTTCAATTTGTATCAGGCACTTTAATAGATACTGAGAAGTCAATGATGAGCAAGACACTACTGATAATGAATTAACTTCGGTGCTATGACTTCATTAGGAAATACTACACAACACTGTACTTAACAACCAGAAATTTGCCTTTGACATATAGCCTAATACTTTAAAATTTTAATTTGCAATACAACTGCTTTCCAAAAAGATAATTGCCTCCTTTGGAAAAACAATTAGAAAACATCACTTAACTACAAACTTTAATGAGATGATAAGTTAACTAGTTCCATCATACCCACACTGCCCAAGAGAACTTTTTGTGATGATGGAATTATTCTATAATCTGAGTTATCAAATATGGTTATCTCTAACACATGAAACTATTGTGGGTTTAAAATATGACTTATACAACTGAGAAACTGAATTTTTAGTTTTATATAACTTTAATAAATTTAAATTTAAATAGCCATGGCTACCATACTGGACAACTAACACATCTAACCATCGAGCTCATACAAAATAACATATATCACTATGAGTGAAGTTTATAAATCTCTTATTGACTCATGTTTTACTATACAAGAACTTATTGAGCAACCTGTGCATAACACTATTGCTAATAATTTTCACACTGCGTTGTATATACATTTACATATCTTTTCTTCCCCCAGAATTGTATTTCTCCAGTAATCACTGTTTCTTACTACATTTACATTATTTTTGTCTAGGATAGTAATCCCCGAGAGGCATGCTATGGATACCAACTGAATTAATGAATTAATCTAGTGAAGTGCTTGGCAATAGGTATCAAACAATTTTAGGGCCTTAATAACTAATGATATAGTTCATTTTTGATTAGTAGTGTCATATTTCAATAGATCAAATAGCTAATAGAACAGCCAAAATGAAAAACTGACTGGGAGAGATGTTACTTGAATTAAGTGTAATTTTCTTATCACAAAAAAATGTTGAGCAGGCTTAAAGATAACATTTTTACTTAGACACAATTAAACTAAATATTTAGAAAATGTTTAGAAATCAATTTTTCTGGTAATAGAAAACTTTTAA